GTGGGTTTTTGATGATTCTCAGCCTTTATATGTTAGTACATGAACCAATATCTGCGTGTAAAATACAAAAAAATACTCGTCATGACGCCCCAACATCTAGGAACAAGGTGCATATTTTTTCAGATTTTTAGCTCTCTTCCTGTTGCCTCAGGACTTTTCTATGTCAGTAGTTTTCTTTACCGCCCAGTAAAGATGACATTTTGTGTAGTGCCTGATAGTCGAAGGGGAAATAGTGATTAAAAATCATCAAGTCGAATTGCTATCAATAGTTTTGAGCTTACTTTTTGTGGGCATGCCGCCAGGAGATTGTTCAGTCCTAATTGAACTTTTTCATAGAGACTTTACGATGAGAAAAGGTATTTCAACAAGCATGTAAGTTTGATACATGAATTTTTCAGGATCACCTCGTGCTAGATTTTTACTGGATGTTGACGGATTTCAGAGAGGAATATAACTTACACATTCAGGTTTCCACCATTTGATGTTCCAATAGTAAGCTGACGATAGACACGCGACAGGAAAAAGTCGGGCCGTTTCAGTTGTTGAACATCATCTAATGGAAATTTTCCTCAAAAATACTAACCTTACAGCCTGCGCAAGACACTTGAAATGCTGATTCATCGCGAACGAGGTTGTTATTTTTTACATACGGTGCAAGCTGTGTTAAAGCCCTGATGGTGGGTTGAAAAACGTCAGTGAGGAATGTCTAGTGGGTAAAGCTAACTGGAGGGAATTTGCTTGGGATAGGGTGTGATAATGTCAAAGGAGAAACCGACGTTTGGCAAGCATTATCATCAATCGGCTGGGGTGGTGAACCACAGTTTAGCGTTGCAGTTAAGTCTTGAGCAGTGCAAGACATAGCGGCAACAGCCAGAATAAAGTATGTCTGAAGTTTTAACATATTGACTGATCGATGTGGGTAATGGATGATAAGATGATGATGATGATGAATAGGAAGTGGATGGATAGGGATGGATGGTGTTCAAAAGCAGCAATATTCCATGGATAGTCTCTTTTCTTTTATAGACGTCAGTTTGACAGCCAGCTAGGGAGGCAGTGTCACGGCGGTGCAGGCTTCGGGCTGTCAGAGCGACAGCAAACTGCGTGGGACTCGGATGAGACTACCCACATCGAGTTCATCAGAGCACAATCCACCTCGATCCACAGGGAAAGTTTATACGCAATTGGATTTATGTGCAATCGAAGGCTTGCATGAGCTTGGATGTGTGGGCATTTTTGAACCTTGCTGAAATCCGAGTCGAGAATCGAGGATAGAACAAGTCCTCTATGATATTTGACATTCATGTCTAGCGGTGAGGACATCCCTTTCTCATCTGTTAGTAAGATTTGACATAGCTACTACATGGCCAACACGCACATCAGGCGCAGTTAAATTGATTCTAAAGAAAAATGGCAAAACCAGTCAGAGCATCCGCAATTGTCGGGTTAAGGTCAAGGGAATAGCCAAGCTTAACAAAGTCCCCCTTGTTTTGAGCTTCAAAAAAACAACAACTCCATTATCACAATGTAATAGTGTTGAGATTCAAAACCTTTGTAGCCATACACCAGGTGGCAAGCGAACTCAAAAGATCACAAGGATTTAATGTCTATGGATGATTATTGAAATTAAATACCATCGATGATCGAGTAGGATTTTCAATAGTCAGAACAAGTTTCGTGTACAACGTCAGGGTAGCTTATGCTTAGCTTAGCAGCAGCTCGATCTGAAGTTGTGTGAAGATCTGAGCCATGTGGAATGAGAACTGAAGCGCCCTGATAGTACCGAAAAAAGATGGATGATGAGCAAAAGTAAGCGCAGTGATATGAAGTTTATCATTAAGAGCTTTACTCACATCTCCTGGACACTTTGCTAGAAGAGCAGTCAACTCGGTTTGGACTGTGGCTGCATCACTGAAACGTATGATAAAAGTGTAATCACGCTTGTTAGTGCTCGCAACCTAGTCGTGATTGGTAGCGATTGTGAGATTCTCAAAGATAGAGACTTACATGTTCAATGCTCCGTGGTTCATGGTCACAATATTCAACCTAATTAGGGAGAGCCAGGCCGTCTTAGTTATTGGATATCAATATCATCTTGGACCCATAAAGGATCAAAATAAACTGACCTTGCATGTACCACAAGTGAGTTGATAAGCTGATTCATCACGAACAATTCTACCATTCTTCTCATCAGGTTTAAGTAAATCCAAAGCACTAAAAATGATACGATCAAAATCAGAAATATCAGTTAAGAAATCAAACTTCACTGAAGTTTAAAAAATAAATTTGGACTGAATGATTTCTCTTGTCTTTTAAGATAGGAGAAGGAAATTGTTGGATTGAGGAAAAAAACCCACTTTTGGCAAGACGTAGCGTTGATCATTGCATTGCCATGATGAGGTAGCAGATTTGATCAACATGCACAACATTTGAAAAGTGTTGCAATTCTGATTTCTCAGTGATACTCGCCCGGGGTCCGGGCTCTACGGGTTTTCTTTCTTGAGCCTCTTTGAGATCCGATATCCGATGACTAGAAAGTTCATCGACTGGATTTCGAAAATCGATCATTCGGTTTCTCATCAACAACAACTGAAGGTCCTAAACAAATCAAGCCTAATCAAGCTCATTCCTTCAGCATTCTTTGAAGAATCGCAAAAAGTAACAATGACTTCAAATCTCGAATCAATGAAAGCTTCTACATCTAATTTAAATAAAACTTTACCTTCGATCACATCAAAATCAGGCTACATCTTTCCTTCTATATATTCATTTCCACCTTTCTTCACGTAAGTTTTTTCTTCTTCTTTTCCTTAGACGAATAAAAGAAAAGAAAAATATAAGTAACTGATGATGATGATGTTGTTTTTTTGAGACTTTTTTTAGTCAACAACCTAATCCACAAACTTGTTCACATCAATTTAAATTATGGCAAGATTTAATTTTATCATATTGTAAATTTCATCGATTATTTAAGATTGAATTAAATTCAAATACTTCAACTTTAGAATTATTTAATAATGCTTCAATCTCACGTAAATTGGTTTATTTTTTTCAGAAAAAACTTGAGTGACTGATAAGATTCTAATGTTGATTCTTTCGGGGGTTGGGGTTCGGTAAAAATCGGTACTGGATTGAAAAATTAGGGAAATTGTCAATAGAGGTCATACGATCAATTGCAGATCTAATGGTCAAATCAGGTATGTAATTGATTCAAAAAGATCTGTCCAGATTGAGCATCAATTGATTGACTTTGATGATTTTATACTCAGGTACAGCAGATTATGATCCACCAAGACTTTCAACATCAAATTCAACTTCATCAAATCATCTGATAATTTATTTCTATCCTATAACTTATTGGTCGAATTTAATTTATGATTATATAGTTTCAAATGGACTTACAAATTCAATCATGACTTTATATGAATTAACTTCAGATGAAGTGATTGTTGAATTAAGAGGTTTAGATGAATATGTTTTAAGAAAAGCTTTGGGTTTATTAGTTAAACAAGGTAAAGCTAAGATATTTAAAGGCACAATAGATGGGATTGGTGGTGAAAGTGATGGTGTTAAGTTTTTTTGATATTTCTGTTTCTGGTTTTAACTTTCTCTTCATTCAAGATGAGCATTTGTAAATTATTACATTGTAAATATAATCTACAAAACTCTAGGATTTCACATATAAGGTTTTGAATAATCTGATGAAAGTGTTTCCTTTACATGAAAACCTATTAGTTCAGATCCTTATCTTGTCACATGATATTTTTCAAATTTATTAATATTGAGACGTTCTTGATGTGTTTATTCTTGTAATCAGGATGAGGATACACAAACTTAGTCAACCTGTCTAACCCCCAGCTTATGGAAGAACACTCGGTACTTTCCCCTCATCCGCCTACGCAAAAGTTGCGCGACCTACGTGCGCGAGCTCCAGCCCAAGATTGCGGCAGTGGGCCAGAAGAAATCCGGTGGCGCAAGCTTTGGTAATGTGAGTCGCGTGCCAGCTGAGCCAGGCCGGGTGGTTTGGTTCAGATTCTGAGTGATAATCGACCTTATTGCGCAAGGGTCTTCATGTGGATATCGCTCATGGTGATTGCTTGCAAACCTTTTGTCTTTTTCACGATTCGTATGGAGTAACGGGGGACACCTGAATCATCGATGAACGTGGACCTACTCCGACCGACTGAATACCCTCAGTGCGTGAAATCAATTTGGACTGGTTGTCTGAGGATTGACGACCAGCAAAGTAGAACTCATCGGAGATAAATCCCGTGTCTGATCTCAACCCATCGCGCAATGCAGCGCGGATTGGAAGACGATGGCTGATTAATATTTGAGCCCTGCTCGGGCTACTCTTCACCGGAAGGCATTTACGTGTGTGATGATCGATTCGTACCAGCCTCACCTGGCTTCCATGGCGAGCTAGCTTTTGGACCAAAAGCTTAAATCCGATTGTAAGCTGGTATGGAAGCTGCATCACTTAGTCAGCTCCAGTGAAGTTGGGGAAGTGTAGTTCAGAGGTATAAAAGCTTCAACAATTCTATCCATCCGATCCCTCATTCAAACACTCGCCATACTTTTCCACCCATCTACCACATTTAGCATTTTACACCTTTAGCCACTTTCAATTAATCGCTCAATTTACAAACTCCGCAATGGATAACCCAGTTGAAGAGGCGAGGAAAAGTTTCTACAAATTTCGCGTCTATTTAATGACTGCTCACAATTTGTTTCCCTTTATTTAGATCCGAGACGTTGTAAGATCTATCACTGAGCCATATGAGGCAAGTGTGATCGCATCAAATGTTAGGAAGTAAGCTATGTTTTCGTAATTAATCATCATAGTTCAAGAACTAATCTTTTTTCCACTCTTTTGCATAGGTATTTTACTACTGATGCTACCATCGAACATCCAGTACTCAATCAACCCGCTTCTGTCAATGGTAGAGATGACTTGGAAGGAATTTATAAAATGCTGTTAGTTATAACTATCATTATATGTTTTCGTAAATCATCATAGCCGACTCTAACTTTCATGAACCTTTTTCCTTAGGCGTGTGATGACTGTGAACAATAAAATTGATTTCCATGCTGTGATGTTCAATGAAGATATGACACAAGGTGCCATCGGTTAGTTTTTTATCTCCATTCAAATATTTGTGATCAAAATTGAAAGCCTGAACATCTTCCTTGTTTTCACAGATCTCACCGAATGGATCAACTTTAGATGGAACCCTTTCTTATCTTCAACAAAACTTCCAGCCCGACTTTTAGTACGCATAGATTTAAAGAAATGCGAAGATGGGAAATATCGGATTTGGAGGTATGTAACTTTTTTTGTTGATCAATAGTTCATCCAGCAAAAAAACTCACACTTTCTTCCTTCTTTGCAATAGACAACAAGACAACTTCCCAAGTGATTTAACTCAATCTGGTCAAGCTCTTTTAATACCAGGTCTTTCTACCCTCAATACTATAGTGAAAACTACAGTGGCCATCATGACTGCAAAGATTGGCAGAGTATTGTTAAGTCGAGGTTGGCTTGGGCCTTGATGGCTTTGAAGCGGTGGATAATTTCTACACTTTCCATCTGTGATAGACCGATTTCTTTCATCTTGAATGTAATTTGATATAACATGCTTGATATAATGTCAACAGCACTCGTGCTAGCTATCAGTGGTTGACGTCCCACAAAACACATTCAAATGCCTTGCCACACGATCATGATAATTCTGAAACAATTGAGACACAAGCGGTGAGATTGAAACACAAGTTGTTCATCATGAAATCAAGTGCTTTTGAAAAAGCTCCCTTTACTAGTTTTCTTGGATTTTTTTATACTAAAATCAGACAAATATATATGCACTGACGCAGTCAAAGATATGGAAATTGCTATAAATAAACACAACGTGTGTCAATGTCTGACTGGCATAGAATCAGGCGATGTTAAAATCAAGATTTGATTCTTCCCTTTTGCGTTTGTATCCTCTTGATTTCATACCATGGAAACAGTCAAGCACGTATAGCTTCTTGAAGTTTGATTTAATTCAAATCTGTCCATACAATCAGGAGCCATTGACGCTTCAATGTTTCATTTGCGGGAAGACTGTTACATAACATTTTCTCCTCTTTCCTAGATACTATGGGGGTTCAAGCTGAAAAACGCCTTAAGTACATCTGTACCTACATCAAAAGGCTACTTGATTTTTGAATTTTTGAAAATGTTATCAGAAAGCCTCAACTGAGAAGCACACTCCCAGGGATTTGTTTTTCAAAAAATAAATCGACGGGCTGGGGGGCCAAACTTAAAGTATGCAAAATGTTGGGCAATTTCTGGTCAACTTGAATTCCGCTATTATGAACTCGAGACACCTATGAATAGAATTAGTACATACCACTTGTCTCAAGTCCTGTTTACCTTGAGTGATGATCAGATTCAAGATTTTACCCCTTTTTTTGTATTATTTATGTTGGACCATTGAAATAATTGATGATGTTGTTCTTTTGAGGCTTTTTCAGTAATCCACTCAATCCATAAATTTTATCCACATCAATTCAAATCATGATAAGATTTAATTTTATCATATTGTAAGTTTCATAAATTATCTAAGAATGAATTGAATTTGAGTACTTAAAGTTTATATTTATTTAATAATGCTTCAATCTCATGTCAATTGGTTTATTGTTTCAGAAAACTCGATTGAATGGTAAGATTTTGATGTTGATTCTTTAGGGGTTGGGGTTCTGGAAACATTGGTATTGGATTGAGGAATTAAGCAGGTTATCAATAGAGATGATACATTCAATTGCAGATTTAATGGTTAAATCAGGTATGTAAATGTCTCAAAAAATATTGATTGCCTTTGATCATTTTCTTGAACTTAGGTAAAGCTGATGATGATCCACTAAGACTTTTGACACCAACTCTCATCAACTCCAACCTCATCAGATCATCTGATATTTTTTTGATCCTATGACTTGTTGGTCAAATTTGATGTATGATTATATAGTTTCAGATAAACGTACAAATTCAATAATGAATTTATATGAGTTATCAGGAGTTTAGATTGATTTGTTTTAAGGGAGGGTTTGGGTTTATTAGTTAAACAATACTGAACCAGGTGAAGCTAAAATCTCAGGGTTACAATAGATAGGATTGGTCACCAGTGGGATTGGTGGTGAATGTGATGGTGTTTAGTTTCTTAACATTTCTGTTTCTGTTTTTGGCTTTCTCTTGATTCAAGATGAAGATTTGTAAATTATTACCTTGTAAATATAATCTTCAAAAACTGTGAATTTCACACTTGATTTTGTATAATCAGAAGAAAGTGTAAAACTCCACATGAAAACCTATTAGTTTAGATCTTGGTCTCAAGTATCACATGATATATTTTCAAGATTTTTTGACATTGAGGCCTTCTTGAAGCATCTATTTTTGTAATTTTATTTGAATGAGGATGCGGGTACACAAACTTTGACCTGTTTGATCCTAAGCTTATTGTAGGACACTTGTTGATTTTCCCTTTATCCGCCTGCGCAAAGGTAGCGCGAGCTTCAGCCAAAGATTGCCCTATATAGTGGGCTAGAATAAATCCGCGGGCGCGATAGTACTGCGGGCAATGCCTGCCTTCAGAAATTGTAATCACTTTTCTCATTGAATGCTTTTGCAAGAAGGATTGCTTATCTGTTCATTTGGAGTGGTCCCTGATTCTGCGTAGATTTCGCATTTTGCAAATAAAGATCTGTGCTCCTTGTAACACTGCGGTGTTTTAGACTCATTTCTCACCGCAAATATTCCTTGAGTCAGATATCTCGATTGACTAGATACGAATTCTACACAGATTCGAGGAACTCGTCAAATGAGGAGGTACGTACATAATCATTCTTAAAAAAGCATTTGATAAGCAAAGTAAATACAATCTCCAAACGCAAACTGTTCGCACTGTAATAGTACCAAAGCTTGCGCTCGCAGATCCATTCGGTTGTCAGAATGATTGCTTATCTCTTTATCTGGAGTGGTCCCTGATTCTGCGTAGAATTCGTATCTAGTAAATCAAGACAGTGACTTGTAACGTCACGGTGTTTTAGACCATTTCTCACCGCAGAGCTTCCTTGGACATTATAAATAGCTTCACATATGTCTCTCGGTCTAGGATTCCGCTCTGTTCATTGTTAAGGCTCATTGAAGTGAATTTAAAGCTTCCTACCAATTCTTAGACTAGCATTCAAAATTGAAACTCAACAATGAAACAATCAATCAAGACAATGGTGCTGAATTGTGCTTATCTGATTCTTATGCTGCAATGCTGGTATTTTGTTACCCCCACCTCAGCCATGGTCCCTGATCTAGGAGAAGCGTGGTATTTGAAAGATGTAGGTGAGTAACATACATTGCATACCTACCAGCTCAAACTAGTAAGAAGTATTTCTGGAGTTGATGAGACTATATGATTCCTCGCGTACAACATTATCTCCATACAAAAAGATTATCATAAAAACTGGCATATCTCACCTAGTTCATCTGCACAAGGCTCAAAGGACCACCTCACAAGATACTTGGATAGAAACCTAGAGGACAGGCAGAATTCTCCACCCTTCTTCCTTTTTCCCCCTCACACTGATTTTCCTCCTGGTATGCCATAGTTTCAAATGATAAACCTACACAACAGGCAAAAACTGATAAAACCTGAACACAGACACACCCACAGAAGGATTTGATGCGCTTGGGCTAATGAACCAGATGTTAAAATCAGAAGTGGAAACTTGGCCTGAATACATCCAGGAGATATTAAAGACCCAGCCATCATTCAGAATCAAGAATTTTTGGGGATTTATTTCAGAACTTTCAGATTTTATGACAACACCAATTCTTCAGAAGACTCTCTTTGAATTGGATGAAGAGGAGCAATTGATTGAAAACCGGGATCGGCGGGTATATAAACCAGTCAGAAAGATACTCTCACGTGTATTAGTCACATATGAAAATAAAATGCAGGAGCATATTGGCTTACTTGAATATGAAAAGCATGTTAAGCTCATTATACCAAGTGTTTATCTTCAGAATAGGTCTGATTGTGATTTATTTTACCCGATTCTTATAGTAAGCCTAAAGAGGTCATAGATATCTTCACAGGAGAAGAACAAGAGAAGCTGAGGCAATACAGGATCCTCCTGGAGAAACAGTGGTCTGCAGATGATCAAGTACATCTGTATAAAGTGTGGGGTTCACGTGAGTCAACATACTTCCCATTTTCAATGATATTGAAACTGAAATCCACAACATCTCAATGTAACATGTCTTACATTGTGTAAGACATGAGGACTTATATGGAGGTACAAGGTGTTGTCAAGGGAATTCTTGAGTCCCAGGCAATCCTGGTCAGATGGTTGCAAAAAGGCACATTCAATGCTCATAGCAGGATGCACGCAGTTTTTCAAAATTCATTGGATCCAAATTGTGAAGCTCTTACAAATGAATTAGTGGAATCTGTTCAGTCTTTGGACCAAATGTGGGTCTTGGATGAAAATCTCCTCTGGTAGTTGAGGATTCAAGGCTGATTAAAATATCTTGTTTTGTGATTTCAGATCATTTGAAAAACTTTACCTCTGTCAACGACAAGATCATTATGGGATTTATGACTCTTTGTTTGATGAACCAGGTTTAGAAGAAAGAAAAGTTTTTGTCTTCTGGGTCAAATGTGAGTGATCAATATCTTTAGAATTTGAGATTCACAAATACCTGATCTTCCCCTCTGCTGCAAATATTCCACAAAAAGACATGCCATTCTTTCTTGAAATGAGATCAAGGGAAGATCTACAAACTTGGCAATGCATGATGACAATGTTGATTGAGAGTGACACACAGAACGGTCACTTGGAATCCATCATGGAACAATTTTTGATTCAAGATCCATCTTCACAAAACCAGAAGAATTTGATCAAGAGGTTCTTAGAATTTGCTCGTGCAAAACCGGGGGATGGAAGTTTCAAAGAGCTTATAAAAGATGGGCTAAATGAGATGAAAAAAACTCCTGATATGCCTTGGGTCTGGCAGGAAAAGAAAAGATTGAAGGAGATGGAGCCTGAAGAATAGATCCACTATGAGCTCGCAGGTTGTAGCTAAGAATCCTTACCTGACCGCATCAGTATTCCACATATTATAGGAAGATTTTAACCAATCTGAAGAAAGTGTATGACTCTACATGAAATCCTATCAGTTTGGAGTGTTGTTTCATTGCACAAATATTTTTGCAAAGTTTGTTGATATTGTGATGTTCTTGATACGTTGGTTTTGGGGATTCTATTTGACTGTGGATGAAATGAAACCAGAAACACAGGAGTCGATCTTAAAGTCGAGCTTAACACAAGTCCCCCAGAGACATCCTCTGGAGCATGCGGGAAGTGCACGGTGCAAGGGACTTGGTTTTACTATCGCATCGGAGTACATCTCAGAGACTCAGATAACCCATTCAACCTTCAGCTTATCAGTGGACACTCGGTACTCTTCACGTGGTCCGCTTGCACAGAGGTTGCGCGACCCACGTCACCAGTGACCTACGTGCCCGAGCTCCAGCCCAAAATTGCGCCTGTGAGACAGAATGGATCCGTGAGCGCAAGCTTTGGTACTACTACTACTATTGCGCGAACAGTTTGCCTTCAGAGATTGTATTTACCTTGCTTATCGAATGCTTCTGTAAGAATAATTACTAATTGTATCCTCATTTAAAGAGTTCCTTGATTCTGCGTAGAATTTGTATTTGATAAGTCAAGATATGCGACTTGTAACACTGCGGTGTTTTAGACTCATTTCTCACCGCAGAGCTTCCTAGAAGTTGAACACCATAAATAGCTTCACATATGTCTCTCGGTCTAGGATTCCGCTCTGTTCATTGTTAAGGCTCATTGAAGTGAATTTAAAGCTTCCTACCAATTCTTAGACTAGCATTCAAAATTGAAACTCAACAATGAAACAATCAATCAAGACAATGGTGCTGAATTGTGCTTATCTGATTCTTATGCTGCAATGCTGGTATTTTGTTACCCCCACCTCAGCCATGGTCCCTGATCTAGGAGAAGCGTGGTATTTGAAAGATGTAGGTGAGTAACATACATTGCATACCTACCAGCTCAAACTAGTAAGAAGTATTTCTGGAGTTGATGAGACTATATGATTCCTCGCGTACAACATTATCTCCATACAAAAAGATTATCATAAAAACTGGCATATCTCACCTAGTTCATCTGCACAAGGCTCAAAGGACCACCTCACAAGATACTTGGATAGAAACCTAGAGGACAGGCAGAATTCTCCACCCTTCTTCCTTTTTCCCCCTCACACTGATTTTCCTCCTGGTATGCCATAGTTTCAAATGATAAACCTACACAACAGGCAAAAACTGATAAAACCTGAACACAGACACACCCACAGAAGGATTTGATGCGCTTGGGCTAATGAACCAGATGTTAAAATCAGAAGTGGAAACTTGGCCTGAATACATCCAGGAGATATTAAAGACCCAGCCATCATTCAGAATCAAGAATTTTTGGGGATTTATTTCAGAACTTTCAGATTTTATGACAACACCAATTCTTCAGAAGACTCTCTTTGAATTGGATGAAGAGGAGCAATTGATTGAAAACCGGGATCGGCGGGTATATAAACCAGTCAGAAAGATACTCTCACGTGTATTAGTCACATATGAAAATAAAATGCAGGAGCATATTGGCTTACTTGAATATGAAAAGCATGTTAAGCTCATTATACCAAGTGTTTATCTTCAGAATAGGTCTGATTGTGATTTATTTTACCCGATTCTTATAGTAAGCCTAAAGAGGTCATAGATATCTTCACAGGAGAAGAACAAGAGAAGCTGAGGCAATACAGGATCCTCCTGGAGAAACAGTGGTCTGCAGATGATCAAGTACATCTGTATAAAGTGTGGGGTTCACGTGAGTCAACATACTTCCCATTTTCAATGATATTGAAACTGAAATCCACAACATCTTAATGTAAGACATGAGGACTTATATGAATGTACAAGGTGATGTCAAGGGAATTCTTGAGTCCCAGGCAATTCAGGTCAGATGGTTGCAACAAGGCACATTCAATGCCTGGAATAAGATGAATGCAGTTTTTCAGAATTCATTGGATCCAAATTGCCAAGCCCTTACAAAAGGAATTGTAGAATCTGTTGAGTCATTGGATAAAGAGTGGGTCTTGGATGCAAACCTTCTCAAAGATTTCAGGCTTCAAGGCTTATTTTGGTTTCTTGCTTTGTGTTTCCAGATCATTTGAACACCTTCACTATTGTCAAAAACAAGATTATTATGGGATTTTTGATCCTTCTTTCGATAAGACATTTTTGGAAGATAAAAAAGTTTTCATTTTCTGGGTCAAATGTGAGTGATTTCCTAGGCTTTGAAATTTATGAATTACTTACGTTCCTCTTTTGATCCCACAAATATAACCAAAAGACATGCCATTTTTTCTTGAAATGAGATCAAAGGAAGATACACAATCATGGCAGTACCTTGTGACAATGTTAATTGACACAGAAATGGAAGGTCACTTGGAATCTGTGATGAATAGTTTCCTCCAAGATTCATTGTCAAAGAACCATCCATCTTCAGGAGACCAGAAAACCTTGATAAGCTGTTTCCTACAATTTGCTCATAAAAATTCAGATGATGAAGATTTCAAAAATATCATAGAAGTTGGGATGGTTGAGCTGAGCCAGGATCCTGTTGCTTAAATCAGGCATGTAAAGAAAGAAATGTGAAAAAGGAGGCCAAAGAATAGATTTACCTCTATATTCACTTCGTGATCTTACAGCTTACATCTTACAATCAATACATGGCAGTTTTAGTGCTGCACACAAATATGTAGGTCCTGTATCCTTCTTTGTGCTTTCTTCTATGCTGCAAACTTTCTTGTCTTTCATGCGTCTGGCTGTTGTCCTGCTTTTATTTAAGTTTATTCTTCTAAGGTTCTTTGAAGTTAGGCTGCATCACTTTTCTTGCAGAAGATTCACTAAGATTTGTACTCCATTTGAAGCTTCTGGGGTATTTGTGCAAAGCTTGTTAATTAAACATGTTGGTTGAGATTATGAGCTCACTGTATTCAAAATCGTTGGCACCCAAAACAGGCAGGTGGTGAATTTGGTGAGTGAGCTGAGTGAGCTCAACTCACTCCCAATGGTAAATGATATTGGGATGACTGCCTTATTTTCAATTAAACAACACATGCATCCCTGTGGAGCAAGACTTCTTATTTCATGTGCTACACAAGAGTGGAAAAAAATGGGAAAATTCAACAAATCACACACTATCTTTTGTCTGCACAATACCCAGGAAAATTTCTGCCAAAAATCCATTCTATGAGTTTCTTACTTCTGGGTCAGAATTGCTTATTATGCATATATTAAACATAACTTACTTTGAAATATACATAGTTTAATATATTTATTCCTAAATCTATTTACTCATACTTCTACCTTGTTCTGTAATCACAGCTGAGGTAGAAGTTTATTCCTGACATTGCAATATGTTATGAGAGGCTTGGAGAGATAGAGCAAAAGGTGATCATGCAAGTATGATGATATTGCAATGTGAGGCAAGAGTAGTAAGTCCTATAAGCATCACTCGGTATTGGGATCATAACATTGATTTGGAGCATCAATGATTTGAGATGATGGAACAGACAATGACAGCCAAAAACCTTCATGAAGTCTGTTCATTTCAGAGTTGATGAATGGTCTGTTGGGATGAAACCATAAGAAATTTTCCATTTTCTCAATATCAAATGGAGTTGTAATTTTGAATAAAAAGTGATACTGTTTTCAAAAAAATGCTGCATCTTGATCTTCTTCTAGTGAAGGAGCATCAGGAAGTGGCTCTGCAGTCAAGCTTCATTCAATAGATGCTGAAAACAAAGGTGCTATGCTGTCCCATTGGTATCCCCAGAGATAACATTTGAAGGTGTATTCCTCAGGCATGATCACATCCTGGGTATGTTGCCCAATGTCCCTGTATGTTTTAAAATTGACTCAAATATCAGTAAATAATAAAAACCTAATACCCAGCTAAACAATACAAAAAAGAGAAAATGAAAAGAAAGATCAACACACAGATGTCAACACTTACAATCAGTGTTCTTTCAATATGCTGGCAAATTGAAGGCAAAGTAGAATTTGTATCTTTTGTGTCCTCAATTTCAAAAATTCCTTTGTGTTTAAACACTAAAGTGTACAATGGAGCCGAACGAGGAATCTTTGACAAAGTCTGTGGCTCACAAGCTGATTTTGCGTGAAATTGAGCTTGAAAAACAGGCTGGGCATATGAACATGGTCAATAAACTTGACAAGGCATACAAGCTCAACTAGGAATACTAACTCAAGATGAAGAAGATGAAACAAAATGATTAAAACTCCAATTAATGAAAGCACTACCAAAATGCTGTGTTTTAAGCGCACCCATATCTTTGATGACTGGAGTAATGCAAGAACTTTTTATGAATGAAATGAGACTTTGATAGAACTATTAACTTTGATTAAAACCTTTTGTTCCCTTGAATATTACCAATTTTATACTATAAAGGTAAGTAAGTGAAAAGGATTCAAAAAGGAAGAACAGATAGGGAAAAAGAAAATTCAGTAAGGAAGGATGGAAAATTGGCTGACGTCAGAACACACCACAAAATACATATTGAAACACTCTGGTATGACTTCTTTACATGTAGCTTTGTTTATGTACCTATCCTATGATATTCCCATTGGTGAGTAACAAGCGACCTACATCAAAAAGTTAGTGATAATCAGTGTATCATGTGGACATACTATCCAATATGTATCTCTCTTGTGTTGTATAGTCTCAGTTTGTCTGTTTCTTTTGTTTCTCTTATGAGCCCATTACTGCTGAATTTTTTTGTCTTAATTGAAACTCTCTAGCTCTTGGGACCTCTCTTGTGATCCTAAGTTATCAGAAATCTAACCTCACTATGTTTGCTATTGCACTATTGATATTGTTGTATCAAGTAGCAGCTGTTGCCAGCACTTTGCCTGTGGTAGTATGCAGCTGAAGCTTCCTGTCAAGTCATTATCCCTTTCTTGTAACAGTCAGGATTTGATTTGTGACACATTGAAATTGAATAGAACACTGACAGGAAATGGAGCAAATTTCACAATGTGGAACTTGTGAAAAATCATGTATATGATGTAATAATAGCTCTGTGATTGAGATTTTACATAACAGAGATAAATACAAGGGACCTCGAGATTGCCTGTTGAGCATTTGTTAATGATTCCTATAAGTTCCATTATCTTTGGAAACATAGTACAGCTTCCTTGGCTTGAATCCAAAAGAAATAACCCACTCAAAGAACTTATCCATCAAAGAAGGAACAAAATGAGAATAGTCCATTGCTACATTCTGATACTGTTGCTTGCTCAATCAACCTTTTGTTCTTGGCTCAAATCAGACTCTGTCTGTACAACCAGGATTTCATCTAGCAATTGGGAGGTTTTCACCCCACAGAGAAGCACTTCACCTCAACTAAAAGAATCACAACATGAAGCTATCATTGCATTTTGGAGACAAGGTAAGTCATTCTTGAGGGTGCTAATAGTTGGATCACACACAAAACCAATCTGATATAGAACACATATGTTTGGCAGGTAATGGAGAGATAACCGAAGATTTGAATTGTCTTCTGCATAGAAATCATTTCTTAATAACCCTGACAAATGACCTCATTTTATCAAAAAAAGAAAGCTGGGCCAAACAACTGACCACAATCCTCAATATAATTGAAACAGTGCTCTTTCACTACCATACAAGACGTGGGGACAAAAGTGCAGGCTGCAAGCTTATTCATCAAATTCTTACGCTGAAGGAGATACCTTTTGATGTATTACAAGTGCTGCATCCCTGGTTACTGAGGATGTATGATTTAGCCACTCATAGCTGGCAATTTGACTCAGATCAAACAAGGCATGGTATCTTGGCAGCCATTAAAATTTCTGGTGGCAAATACATAGAGCACATCAGGAATCTTGGTGATGGAGAGTGAGGCACTTTTTTAAATAATCAGTAATCATATTGCTAACTATTTCATGTCACAAATGGTTTAACTTTCAGACCCCTGATGAATTTTGTGAACATGCAAAGAAACCTGGAAAGATATGGAATGGTTTTGTCTGGTGATTGGTCTTCACAAAACCAAAGAGAACTTTATGAATTCTGGATTTCTGGTGAGCCAAACATCAAATCTTTTCATGGGACACTTTTTGATTGTTGCATGAAAATTAGAATACCCCAATGAAGACAGGATGGGACTTTATTATAAGGTAAAACACAAGCCACACCTACAACTTGTTTTGGAGACACAGGTTGTGCAGACACGATTGATTGAGCATGTCAAGCACATTGATAAATATGCTCATCTAGTGGGACGCCTAGTATTGGCCCAGTTTAGGTCTGAGTTATTGAAACAGTCCAATACTGTTGCCAATTACATCAAGTCTCTAGATAAAGATGAGAAAGTTTTGTTTTATTGATTCAAGATAATGAGTCTTCATCAAGCTAATACATATGCAATCTACAGGGACATTTCTGAATTTATCAAAACACAAGAGCACATTCATCCCTATGGATTGGAAATTCAACACAGAACAGAGATAAATCAAATGAAGGTTATACAATTCTGGTCAACTTGTGAGTCCAATTTAATTAACTTGGAAAACTATGGAACTTGAAGCTTAATGACTGTTTTTTTGGTCATAGATGTGGATATATTCCTACTTATGCACAATATTGAGGACACCAAAGCTCTGCAGACAGTCATAGAAGATTTTGTAGTAGAGGACTTTGATGAGGTTTGCATCATTATGAGAAATTTCATCAATACAGTTCCTACCTGTACTGCAGCTAGTCCTGCCCTGGCTCAATTCCTCAAGTTTTATTCAGAGGCCACGCAATATAGTGTGAATATGGAAGTTGCTCAGGAGGCTCTAGATCTGTTTGTGAAAGAATCAGCTGTTCAGAAAGCTCAAGCTCATTTGGTGAACAATGAAGTTGCTGCAGATGCGGAAGATCATTCTGTGAGCAATGAAGTTGCTGAGGTCAGTGGAAGAATGAAGTTCCTGAGGAAGCTCAAGATCAGTGCACAAACAAGGAAGTTGCTGAAGAAGCTCACAATCAGTGCGTGAACAAGGAATTTGCTGAAGAGGGTCAAGAGCAATTTGCAAAGAAGTAATTCTCCGAGGAAGCTCTATCTCTGCCCAGGAAATCACTCAAGTTCCAGAAAATTTGCAAGTGCTTTGGGGTTGGTCCCAAAAATTGTGAAAAAGTCAATTTTTTTGACAAATCAACATGTCTACCAACATAATTTTTGCAGATCAAAGAAGGAGAACATTTCCATTCCAAGCCAAAGAAGCACTGGAAAGCTGAAAAGGGGATTGGTTTAAGATCCCTCAATATTTAAAGTGAAACAAGAATGGCAGTGATGGTGTTGGTTTTGGCATGTTGACACCAAATTTTTGTTAGATTTTATTCCCTTATTTTAGTTTTCATTTCCTTCTAGAATTCTATCTTTATATCTATCTATCATGGTCCATCAATTATGAAGTTGGATTGCATCATTCAGGTCATACCATTGACTTTTACTTTGTGAGCGGTTGTGACCTAAAAATCAGAGCCAACTTACTCTTTGTGCATTTTGATTATGGTGTATCCCCTCTTGATACAGGTTGACTTTGCCTGTACTTTGAAGCCTGTTGACTTTCATATTCCTTTATTTGGAACCAATAACTTTGACAAGGCCAGCAAAGCACAGGCTGGTTCTGCAGGGCTTGTAAGTTAGAGGAGTGCTTAAGTATGAGAGGCTTACTACCTGCAACATGCTATGAACATTGTCCAGTGCCCTCCTTTTAAGCTTGAACCGATTTCTAAATATCATCAAAGACCTTGAACAGTCTCAAAGGGCTGATTTCAATGTGCACGGAAACCTGAAAAGTGGTCAGAAATATGAGAAGGGACAGAAGCAAAACTCAACAACAAGATGAACTAGATGGGATACTCATGCAAGACTTGGGTATGGACAACATCCATTTGAACAGCACTCCAGTGATCTCTCAACCAACTGGAGCAACTCAAAGTCAAGCAAATGCTAGGAACACAAGCCTGCGTGGGATTGAGCATATCAAGAGTTACATCCTTTTGCTTGACCACAAGACTCAGAGCACTCATACAAATCAGTCCAATGTGATTACATGAGATTATGTACAAGATGAGCGCGGTTAGTTTGGTTCATTCATATGCCTGCTTTAGTTAGGTGGTGGCAACTGTCGATGTGGTCTGAAGAAGCCAAATAATCGAGATTCTAAATCTCTCATTGAAATGCCGTTGATTGTTCTACACTTTCTATCACCAGTTCTGGCTCAGAAGACACCTTGTCATCCTTTTTCTACTCATTTGTAGAGTCCTCGACTTTGAGCTTTGTGTCGTCATCGGACAATGGGTCGAGCTTCTTCGAAATTTTGGCTTTCTTGTTGTTCTTGGCAGCAAGCTCTTTTGCGCTCCTTTTTGAAGACGAGGTTTCAATGGAGAGATGGTCATTACCAGCGGTCAACCAAATGATCAGACACTGACCGTCATCTCTGGCGTGATAGACCCTCTCCAACAAACCACTGGCACCAGGATATAGATGAAAGACTTAAATGGTTCGAAGATCTCCAGAGGCTTCTTCTTCTTTCGCATCCGCACCCTTTACCTTTACCTAACACAGCAATGAAGAATCCGCCGGTGTTTTCATGGGTGACCAGTGTCTGTCGATTCAGATTGTGTGAGCAGGGGGGCCGAACCATCTTTTTGCATCAGGCTTCAACTGACCTGATTTGCAGGAATGTGTGATCCGGCCCCGTGTGTAGGTCGTTCTTTGACCTTCCTCAATCAAAAGTAAAATCTACCATCCCTCTCAATCGCAATTGCTCAACTTGTCGTTTTAGATAGAAGAGATTTTGGCTTTCTTCCTCTTGGTTGCAAATTTTGAACCTCGGACTGATTCTGGGTAAGCTCAACGTATTCCAGAGGCTTTACTTCCATCATAGCTTGATTTATGTGAAGTTACAAAACCTCGGATTGTTATCGATCTTAACTTTGCAAACTACCAAGGTTGAACAAAAAGAATTACCAAAGCGTTATATACCCATTACGAGAAAGAATATCTTCACTCGTCCGGTGGTCAAATCATGATTGCGCTAATTACTTTCAAAGGAAGTTTTATAAGCTCAATACGATTCCCATCGCAACAGCTCTTTGTGTGTTGCTAGAATTTAACGCAAAAATAAAATATCGACATGCCTCTCAACGCTCTCAGCGTCGGATCACAAAGTTCGTGAAGTTTATCCAGACAAAAGGCTGTACCAAGCGATCCGAATTCGCCGGCAATTGGTTTTTACGTATCAATTCTGGACAGGTATTTATCGAACCGTCCCAACTTCACGTTGGTTGAATTTTCATCTTACCCTACCTACTTCCTTCAAGATTGTGCCTTACGTCTCAGCCACTTGTACGGTTGATGATCGAAGTGATATGATACCATTGCAGGCTTTAGAGAATCGTTTCCATCCTGTTTCAAAATGAATCCGAGTGTCAACTTTTGATAACTCCCAATTCGATCTCTGCTTATCTCATTAAACCTCAAAAGTGATTTATGACTTTTGATTTGTGTGGAGATTAAATTTCTTTTGAAAGGAAGAGTGAAATTGACCTTAAAAAGGCACTCATTCAATCACTTTTCTACCTACATATCATCTTTCGTGCAACTTTCTCCCTTTCTTTCACAATCCTTCCTGAACTCTTATCACTTTAAACTTATTACTCCATCTTCAAATATAACTAAAACTTACCTCGATGGTCGGTTATACCACTTTAAAAATTTTATACTTTTCTCTTTTGTTTTCCATTATTTCAGGTTCTTTTGTTCGGATGGTTAAACAAAATCATCGTCTGGGATTAAGATCTGATGTTTCATTAGAATCATCTATGGATAACGTAGATTTGGATATAAGGTAAGCAAAATTTTAAGCCTCGATGAAAAAAATGTTTCAGTTAAATACCAAACCAAAATGAGAGATGCTCCATAAGGCTGACCCAAACTTCTCATTTTTCTATTTTTTCATAAAACCAACCAAACAAAATCAACCATGTACCAGAGTAATCGAAACCCCTCGTCAAAGCTCTCTTTCATCTCTAAATCGTTTCTCTCGTCGAAAAAGTCCAGAAAAACGTTTTGTTTTTGCACATGTTGTTCAAGGGAATTCTCAATTTTACCAAGCTGATGATTGGAAAGAAGACAGTTGAGTGAAGACTTTTACTATTTCATTATCTGACCTTTACTCACCTCCTCTCTTTCTCATTGCAGTGGAATTAGCAAAACAAAGTGGGATTGATGCCTTTGCAATCAATATTGGAAGAGATATAACCAATGAAAGACAAATCCCATTAGCTTATGATGTTGCAGATCAACTGGATTTTTCACTCTTTCTTTCATTCGATATGTCTTATTACGGTCAACCTGGTTCATCAAAAGATGTTATTAAACTTATTCGGACCTTTGCTCATCGACAAAGTCAATTCAAATATCAAGGGAAACCATTGGTGTCTACTTTCTCTGGTGAAGTTCCTGGTACATATTTGGTCAGAGTTCTTCCTACTTATTCAACTAATATATATTGAGACTGAAATAGTGATTATGTAGGATAATAACCCTGACTATAATGCGGCTTGGGATGCTTTAAAGAAAAATTTGGGATTTTCGGTGAGTGATTGAAAGTTTACTCAACTTAACTACTTATTTTCTACGATTTGTAGCTGACGAATTATCTCTTACGTTACAGATATATTTCTTGTTAGTTACGAATCTTTCATCTTCGTCTTCAAGGCTATGACTAGCGTCTGGACATTGTAAGAAGCTGATCAATTTTTGATTTTTGTGTTTGTAGACCTTGCTGGACAGGTGCCAACCCATCTAGTGTCCCTACTATTGATGGGCTATTGTCTTGGGATGCATGGTCATCATATTCTGAATCCCCTGATGAGAGAAATCGACTTGCTCTTCACAAATTTGGAAAACAGTATGCTGCGCCTATCAGTCCATTATTTTTCAAACATCTTGAACATGGTGCAGGTGGGAATTATGTCTATAGTAGTGACGACTTCCTTGTGATTGAAAAATACATTCAACTTATTCAATCACCTCCTGCTTTTATTGAGTTTGTCGCTTTGAATTTATCTCTTAGGTTAGGATCTTGAACTGATCAAACCCTTTTCTTTTTCTTCCTTTTTCTCCTTCTAGATTGTTGACATGGAACGATTATGTAAGTCAAGCAAATTCCAAAAAAAAGATACATCAACTCAACTCAACCTTCTCACTCATTTGATTTGTTTGAATTTTCTTAGGGAGAAGCTCATTACCTTAAAGATCCACGAAAGAATGCAAATCTACCTAAAGGTGTGGTATCCGCTCACGATTACGTGAATGGATTTTCTCATGAACCTTTACTCCATATGCTTTCTTACTTCAATTTGTAAGTGATTCTGGACTTTAATTTCGTTGATACCTCAAGTCCACAGATCATTGATTTATTGTCTATCTTTCCTTCAGATGGTACAAAGATGGATCTCGACCGAAACTTGAAAAGTAAAGTTATTTCATTGAAGCTGATCAATTCAACCAATTGTAATGACTTTCTCTGATTTGATGCATATTCTTTGATCTGTACCTTTTTTCTGTAGATCTAAATTATACCTTTGGCATCGGCCTCATCCAAAATCTGTAACAGCAACAGATGACCCATTATCAATCCCAAGTAAGTCATTCATCAATCTCGATACTCTTTCTTACTCTTTCTTCATACTGATAAACGTAACTTTTTTTTTCTATAGAATCTTCCAATGAATCTCAAGATAATCTTTACATTCTTCTAATGGTCAAATCAAGAAGTAATTTAAATAAAATGATAATCAATTCCGGTTCCAAAAAATATACAAAACATTTAAAAGAACACCTTTCCAGACATGAGGATACGATTATTAGAATCACTTCACCATTTCATTGTGGTAAAGATCAATCTATTCAATTATTTGATGATCATGATGATCAAGAAATTTTAAACTTTAAAGGTTTGGCAATCAATTCAAAACCTGAAAAATATAATTTTAATTATTGGTCTGGTATGACCACTTTTTAATTTTTTATACCAAGTTTTCTTCTACTTTCGTTTTCTTTGGTGATTTGATTATCTAGTTTTTTTCGATTTTCTGCAAACAAACAGTTTTGTTTTGAAGTTTTTTTTATCCATCCAAATTATTTAACTAAAATATATGTAACTTGGTCTTTAAATCATCTATAAACCAAATCAATTATTCAACTAAAATATATGTAACCTGGTCTTCAAATGATATATAAACATTCCAAGGATATCTATGTATTCTATGATAAGAGTTGAGCTTTGATTAAAACAAAACGTGATGATAAAGATGGCCTTCATGATCATGAGATATCCAAAAATTTCAACAGAGCTCAAAATTTCAACAGAGCTCAAAGTTTACTTGGAAATCCACATGATTTTTTAATGAATCAAAATTAACCCTACATTCCTGATCCCCCTACCAATTTCACATCAGACTAATTGTTCTCAGATCCACCAAGCCCTTGATAGGAGTACCAAGGAAAATGATAGCTCTCAAATTTCCTTATAAAAGTGATTCACCTCACCATTCAAGGAATATTGTTCAATGATCCATTCATTGATAATGATTTTATCATTACCCCACACTAGCATAGATGAGCTCGTGGTATGTCATCCTCATATATGAGCCTAATCTAAACTTTAGTTTTTCATTCATCAATTTCACTAAACAAAATCACTTTCTTTCTTACTAATCTGCTCTAAGTACATATAACAATTTCTCAAAATCTTCTTGTAAAAAATGAACTCAAAGTATGATATTCATCTCACAACAAAACTCAGGTCACACAAAGAACCTATGCAAACTTTTTTTTATGAAACTTTCCTTTACTCTAAATTTCTTTAAAAAAAGAAAACCATTAATCCTAAATCCTAAATTCGATTCATATTTCATCATCTTATCATCATTCTACTCTTCCTGTTCTTCCTTATCTTCCTTTTGCTTCTTTTTACCTTTTGCATTTTTGGTTGAAGTTAAATCTTCACCCCATAACCTCATACTAAGTACTCTTCTCTCCTTCTTATCCACCATCAGATTCACACTAGCCTTACTAATCCACATAGCCACGACTAAATCTTTAGGTACATGTTCATCTTTATCTCCAATCACTTCCATCACACAACTACCAGCTCCAATCTTTTGTACTGCCTTTTTGAACGTTTCGTCTTCTAAATCTTCAAAAAGTGGATATTGATCTGGATTTGAAATTAATTGTTTTAAATTCTTCAAACCGGATTTAACTAATCGACTAGATCCCATAAACGGTTTACAAAACTCAACTCCATCACTTACGATCCTCCATCTACATCCATATGATGGTTCATCTGTTGTAACTGAATTCGAATTATCTTTACCAAAGATCTTCACTCCACAATTCATTAATCTAAGTCTATCATGTGTATTTGATTCAATCACTTTTCTAACTATTGAAGACGTCATATAAATCGTACGACTTGCGGCTCCAGATGCGTTACGAACAAGTAAGTTATCTACTGGGAAAGTCGATTTGATTGCAAAGAATTTGCTATTTAAAGATATCCAAAAGTTAATTTTCAGTCTCTGTCAGGTTTAACGAAAGAAAATATGAAAGATTGAAACTTACAAGCAATCTTTGACCTCTTGATTATCAGATTTGAGATAAGTATAAGGGTCTTCTTTAAAATGTCGTTGGTTGGTCTTCTTGACGTCCACATCTTCTACATTTTCTTTGACCACTTCTGGCTCGACAGCCACCTTAACATCCTTCTTCTCATCTGTAGAGTTCTCGGTCTTGGGCTTTGAGTCGACATCGGCCGATGAGTCGGCCTTCTTCGAAGTTTTAGCTTTTTTGTTCTTCTTGGCAGCGAGCTCTTCTGCACTACGCTTTGCAGCCGAGGTTTCACTTTCGAAATGGTCGCAAACAGTATCCAAAGAACCAATTAGTCCCTGATCATCATATTTAGGTTGATAGATCCCCTCCAAAAAATCAGAAGGGTATAGATGGAAGACTTACGCGGCTTGAAGATCTCCAGAGACCTCTTCCTTCACATCCGGACCCTTTGCCTTCACCAACACAGCAACAAAGAACCCGCCAGTGTTTTGTAAATGAGGATAAATTCTAAGACATCTTTCAAGTCCTTTAGCTTGCTCTTTTCCATCTGGCCAAAGTGTAGCAGAATATCTAGCTTTGTTCTCATCACCTTCTAAATCATCGTAACTTTTCACTTCATCGTTTTTTCCCAAGGTACGATTCATCACTTTCCAAGTTGTCATTCCTGGACGACGTTTTAGTTCAGGTAATTTATCTGATACATCTACCAAGGTCATTTCAGGATGAAGATTTAAGGTAGCAGACAGGACGGCTTCATTTTCTAATGGGTTTAATGAGCAAGTTGAATAAACCATTCGACCTCCAGGTTTCAATAGAGCAATGCAACGGGATAAGATTCGCATTTGTAGACTGTGGATACCCGTAAGCAAAGTAGATCAGAAACAAAACAAATGTGAGCATTTTGAGTGGCTGTAGGCGACTTGGTAGAGAGCGCCATCAAGATTCACACAAGAAACATACCCATGTAAACCAACTCCGTTTGCAGGTGTCCAATCTCTCCAAATTCCACCATTCTTACGTAGTGTGCCATCTCCACTGCATGGTACGTCACATAAGATTCGGTCGAATAACAATGGTTTACCATCGATCTTGAGGGATGGGTACATCGAAGCATCATGGTTTGTGATCATCGTAGAAGGAGATGGTAATCGACGAAGAGATTGATGAACAAGTAAATGAGATCGTTTGTAATCACTGTCATTGGCGATCAATAAACCAGGTGGGATTAAAGATTTTGAGCTGTGTATGGATTCCACGAGTTGAGCAGTCTTGGAACCAGGGGCGGCACAAGCATCGAAGACCTGAGATATGAACGGTTTCGAGAATGGCATGTTAGCTCGGATCCCCATGACAAGTGAGATGAAGTTTCCAAGGAAAAGTGGGCCCACAAAGTGTTGAGGTTGAACATCCAAGAGAAGCGTAGGAACCATAGAAACAGCTTCTTGACGTGATATATTACCAGCCTCTGTCTCATAGACCAAAAAGTTTTGAAACCTTTAAGACAGTGTAAGGTGTATATGCATAGGAGGAATTTGATGGAGTGAAAAAGGAGATGTTTATTGAGTTTCGCAAGCAGAACACAAACCATTGAGTGATCAGAATTCTGAAACGTGTCTGTTATGCTATTTGAAAGATGACTGACTTTTTGAACTCAGGAGACTTTCGAACGACATGCTTAGAAGCACGTAATTCCCATGCTAATCCTTTAGGATACCTATTCACAATTTTGTTCAAATCATGTAATCAGTCATCGGAAGGCAAACTGTGGAGGGTATTTGACATCGACTCACCATGGCAATTGTGCAGGTGGAGGGATCGACTCTCCATTAATTTCGACGTTAGATAAGTAAGGAACGTATGTTTCTTTAAGGATCCGACTTAGTTCTACAGCATTCCTGTTAATCCAATTTACCATCAATTCTCAATTATATCCTATCGGAGTTTTAGTTAAAAAGTTAAACTCACTTCTTGGTCCCAGTAATCCGAAAAGTCGTAGGTAAATCGGTACGTAACACAGCAAATAATTCATCCCATTCTTTATCATCTGCAACAATACCTTGAGATTTATAATAATTTACAAAAGCTTCATTTGTTTCTGGAAGTACATCCCATCTTTGAGTAGATGGTTTAACACTTATGGGACCATTTGATGAAGTATTATTTCGGATTTGTTTTCTTGGTTTTCCCTAAAGTTCGAATTAAAAAAAAATAGATTATGTTAAATTGATTCTGGTTTGAATTTGGATTTGATTTATGTTGACTTACCATCTTGTGATGAATGCTGAGCTTGTCCTTGAAATTGAAGTTGATAGATGGTGGGGAAAACTTAAAAATCTTGAAAAATTTTAAGACACGCCAACTGAATCGGACTGAGTTTTTCAAGAATCTCAAAAAGGGTTAGGTTTCAAAGAAAGTGTACATCACGTGACCCATGTTTTTCAACTGGCACGTGACACCCTGCGCGTTTCAGCACTCGACTTCAGGACGCGACTTCGGACTCCAACAATTGCGAGAGTACACATTCCAAGAATGACTCAGGGAACATATGTTAATGCTCAAAGTGTATGTCAATTTTCCATTCTTCGCGATCCGTAGTACCAGGCTTGCCTCCGTGATGATACTGCATGCTGACGAACATTCCTCTTTTAGGATTTTAGGATACTGGAACTTGAAGGAACAAAGTCAGGACTTGCTAGCGATCCAGCCTTGATTGCGCCTTTCGTTATGCTTCAGGATTTCTTTCGCCGCGTAGAATTAACTTACTAGCTCAATTCTCAACTTTGGAATAGGCAAATTTTAAGTCGTGCGAACATTTTGTTGGTATTTACCGCTCAACAAGTAAGGCGTTCAAGTGTGATATCTTTCTTGGCCATCGAGTTTTGCTGACTCCAAAGGGAGACAAGGTTTTGAATGATCTTTTCAAAATTTCTCTTCACGATACAAGATAGACTGAATCCATTCGGAGCATTGTAATAAACTCAATTTGCACTGATCATGAAATCATTTTGCATTTCATCGTTTTCCAGGTCATAGAACGGCAGATCAAAACACCCTTGATACATACCTCTTGAATGTGAAAGTAACTTCGGCTTTTGAACTCCCAAGTCTCAATTTGGTGAGAACCATGACTGGGAATGCTAAAGAAAGGTATTGGCTAGCGGATACATGACAGCAATATGTTAAGCCATTCTACCCTCCAAAAAAGACTTTCACTTTCATATCAATAACTAGTGGCTAGCTAACTTCGTTCTCATCCTTCACAGGCAGACTCCCACATTGCGCGCCGGTAGCACTTCTTCAATTTGTGGTGTATCATCAAGAATGGATTTATGGATTTTTCAAGTCTTCTGTACCCTTTTTGAGACCATCCTTAAGTTCAAAACTAGAAAACGTCATGTATAAAAAATGTCATGCGGTCATCTTCTGTACGATTTTAGGAAGTGTTGCAAGAATATGCATGTGTATTTATTTGTAGACGACGCACTCGTTAGACGAGAAGTGCGGACCAGCTGATTAATCATTGATAGTAAGTAAATATCTCAAGTCTTCAATTATTGCAATATATGGATGGAGCTAATCAAGTATGTGTGTCATTTATCAGCGCGGTAGGTGAAGTGTAGCATTTTAATCAATTGATCGAAGTCTGAGAGTCGATAACTTATTTCCTTTGAGCAGTACCTTCTGAAACTGTCTAGATTTAAGTCATATGTTTACAAGGTGGGGGAAGCGGAGACTTTATCAATAATTCATCTCGGGAACTGCAATGACACTTTCAGTGATGTGTAGAATGTCTCATTTTTCCACCCAAATTTGTCAAGATATGGCTAACGATCAAAGATTTATTTCAATCTTTTGACAAATCTGAATGGACTTCAAGACGGTTTTACACGAACAGAACATCTCTTATATACCTCGACCGGTAGTGACAATTCTATTCAATCCCGCACTCCTTTCCTCAGGAGAAAGCCAAAAACCACTAAATAGGAGGTGAGGGATCTTGTCAACGTCCCTCGTACTCTTAGAGGCTACTATTCAGACAAGCCAATTTGCTGAATAAACTCTTCGCAGAGGCCAATCAATCAATTCAAGACATTTGGAGCTAATCGTTAAAACAAGAAAAAATATATAACTCTAAAAATACGTGTATAGTTATATAGAGTAGTATCACAGTCATCATCATCATCACATGAATATCGTCATCACATCATTAATATCGTCATCACATCGTTAGTATCGTCATCAAATCATCATCATCGTGAACATATCATCATCAAAACACCGAGGTGTCAAACAACAAATACATCAATAGCTCGTCGTACAGCAATACCGAGAGCAATTATTGGAAAAAGATATAAAGAGAAAATAGTGTATCTTCACGCGGTACATGTATAGTCCGTGGTCACAAGAGAGGAAAAAAAAGAGAACTTTCGAATCTGATCAAGAGTAGAGAAAAATATTCAAATGAAATTGTCCGTTGAAAGCGAAGTGAAAGGTTTTAGAAGATAATATCTTTTGAGAGAATATGGAAGAAGACTGCATGTGATCGAGATATCAATTCGCGTAACTTTCATTGATTTTGATCATTGCGTAAGTGTCTCGATTCGAGTTGAGCTTGGAGAATCGAGGTTCCATAAGATCGGTTCATTCTCGTCATTCTTCTCCTCCTCCTCATCCTCCTCATCTTCAACTTCCTTGTCTTCTTCTTCATCTGTCTTGTCTTCTTCTGAAATAATAGTTTCATAACTTCCATCTTTAAATTCTGTTTCATCAATTTTGATCGAATCTTCTGATGAATCATCTGAATATATGATCCATGATGGGCTAGGTGGGTTTCCTTGAAGAGTTATATCTAATTCGATACCAAGAAAACTTGATCAACTTCCTGTTTAATGGTTCTGATTATTTTACATTGTTTAAGAGTTTGTCTTTTGAAGATACTGACCATCTTTTCCAAATCTAACAGGCGACTTCATAGGAGGTATCAAAAGGACTGAAGGTGCCAATAAGACTCTATTTGGTTGTAATTGTTGATCAGGTTTACGCTTTCGTTCAAGTGGTTTTATAGTGGTATTAGGATCAGAAAGCGAGAAAAGAGATGTTGTTGGACTAGGAAGTTCGAAGAGTAACCCAAAAGGTTTCCTAATTTTATTCCTTTCATTCCTGATTTTGTTTAAATCAGAATTAAGAAATTCTTCATAAGCTGTGATTTGATCTCTATGAGTTTGACAGTGAGTTTGAATCGGAGTTGAATGGTTTAAGTTTGTCATCTCTGGTCGTTATAAAAGGCGTTTCTTTTAGGGATGAGTTTAATCAGAGTGATCGAGGAATAATGTTTGGGGAGTTAGTTTAGAGTGAATATCCGTTAGATTTGGTCACAAAACTCAGAGTAACATATATAAAGTGATCTACAGCTAATTGCGCTCCAGAGGGAGAATGAGACGTTCCAAAGTCGTGCGGTTTCGTTAGAGATGCTACAAGAATACAAAATTAAGACCCAAAAGGCCAGATGAGGGTAATAAGTTAATGGGGTTGTATGCAGCTTTTGAGGAAGATGGTCGTTGATTAAGATTGTACAGTTGATGGTTAATTTTGAGTTGGGATACAAATGATATGAGAAAGGGGTGAAGTTAATAAGTTTGCATGAGAAAGCTTGGTTTTAAGAAGAAAGGAAGTTCAAAATGGTGTGACGGAAGAGAAATCGTGAAGATGACTCAAAAAAACAAGCTAAAAAAGGCAATACGTACAAAATCTCAACAATCTCAAGTTCTAGTGCTGGAACACAGCCTGAAGGTCACTCAGAGAGCACAATTATTTGAAAAAGTTGAGCACTAAAGAAGAACTGTACTGCATTTACTCGTACACCTCAGTCTCAGATCTGACGAGCTGACACATCTGGTTCAAGGCCGTCATCTTCTCGCACGAGCGCTTCGAAGTAATGCCATTTGAATATGTACGATGACGCCATGATGGAACGAACAGGTTGAGGTTCCTGAACGAGCCGACAGAGATTCGATAGGATTTCCTCATATCAAGCGAGTTTTCAATTACACGAGGCCTCCGGCAGCTAGCGCTGCCAAGTAGGACCACGTGTTGCTGTCTCTTAAAAGACTGAGAATTGTCTGTCTGGATGCCGAGATGACACGGGTTCAGATGAAGCAACTTTACACGAGCCGCATCAACAGACTCGCATACACAACTTAATACTTGATACCCCAAGGCATTTGAAGTCATTGCAGAGGTCCATAGGTGATTTCCGATAGGAATCTGGTGTTGTGGATATATGGAGAAGCTGCTTAAAGATCCATCTCTACAGCGAGAGAGGTCACAGGGATGTGCTATCCAGCCCTGTCACTCATACAATCCTCACGCGAGAAAAGAGCTCGAAGAGCTCTTCGAGCTTTTTTGGTAACTAGGCGAAGCCGCGCCCCGGCCGGAGACTGGCGCGTGGTGACATTGCAACAAGAACCGGCGGTAAGAGAAAAGCGGAAATAAGAAATATGTAAACGTTTCTGGAGAGGAGGTTCTGTTATAACGGGATTTTAGGTTTATGCAATCAGTGCATTTAGAGAATACTTTGATTGAGCACTTACATGTACTTTAGAAACCCCAAGCAAATATGCGGTTGAGAATGCCAACGACACATGTCTAATGCATCATTTAGAGAAAGTGTCTGCCTGAGGCTCAGCAATCTAATAACATGTCCTGTCATGGAAGAAGTCACGGAAAAGCACAGGTTTATGACATTGTCCAAATGATGCAGGACAAAACAAACAAATGAAAAGCGCAAAACACATTGAAGCTCTCGTTGTTTTCCATGACCACAGGTCAAAAATCATGGGACCGGGGACCAAAAGCATTGGTCCTTATTGGAGTCTAGATTTAAGTTTTCTTATATGATAATGTTGTACGTGGAAAGCCCATAAGAATCGGAGGTACCAGGGGAAATCAAAAAGCACAAACTAAGTTATTGTTCGAGTAAAAAAAAGCTGGACTTTGAGATAACTCCTGCAAGGCCTCACAGATGCACTGAAGCATGAGGATTGTCACAACAACGGGTACACTACGGTGCAAACTTTAAGGGCAAATATGTGTTCAAAACACCCCCAGTAATCACATTTGAGAAACATGGGACTTTACCTACCAGTGACAAATCTGTTTTGTAATTGTGATGTGGATTTTGAATTTTTGTAAAATATATGTAGAGCTGATGTACTTGGGTCATAATTTGAAAACACAAATTCTCGAGGTATCTTGATACCTCATCAGAACATAAATTGACCACAACATAAACTGAATGTGCCCATTATGATTTCACCAGGTACTTCACATATAATTTTCATCTTGGACCGCTCAGTGATGTAGATTGTTCATGAGCTTCTGATACCAAAGCTCTGTCGCAAGCAAGCCCACGAGACCCGAGGTTCGACTTTTGGAAAACCAAGTCATGAAAACCTTCACTCAAATCAAGTCATTTCCCTTTTGACAACAAGTCTCAGATCACTTTTCACATTGTTCCGCTCTTTGACTTGTTTTTTTATTATCTCTTCTTTGTTTTACTTTCTTTTCTCTATACTACTATCATATCCATTCCCTCGTTTCCCTTCTTATCCAATTTCGTTCATCAGTCTCGGTGGCTGCTTGGATTTGATTCGGTTTTGATCAATGACCCCCGCCTTCCACCTTTGCGCGACCTCATATATCACTCTTCTTATTGATACGGACCTGAGTTAGGCCATACAACCAAAGACCAATCAGTTCCCAACTTGAAAGGCTTGGTGGGTATAGTACGACACATCTTTCTGTGCAACATGTACTAGATGAACTGAGTGTTTCTGCTTTTGCGTGACTTCAGGTAACTCAATTTCACCGCCGCGAAGATTGTCGGTCCGATGAACATCTGTCGACCTTGCATACCGATCGTGATATGATATTCTTGGTAAGTGAAGTATAGCTGCTTTATGCCTTCATCTCGCTTTGTATCTGTCTGTCCAGCCGTTATTCTAGAGTTGCTGACCCATTTTGATCTCTCCTGGTCATCACTAGTCCATGGTGATTTTTTCTGCTCATTGGATGTCCTTGTATGGAACCCAAAGGATTGACTGGATATCCTTTGCATCGAATTTTGTTGCTCTCAATCGGCCTCTCAGTTCATCCTCAAGTTTCTCAAAGTCCAACCCCCAAACAATAATATATTTCTCCCTGGCAAAAACTAGTGGCAAGAAGATGTACCGTACTGATAGATATTGACTGAATGGGGATTGGCTCATCATTTCCTTTTCTTTTGTTATATATCATTGGGATTTTCTTCTATGGCTACCTACAATTACTTCTTTACATTAAAAGTCTTTTTGTTGAACAAACATTGTTGTTTTTCTTATTTGTACGGTACATCCGGAACGTATCCAGCGTCTCATGTCACTGTGTTGCCCCAGTAAGCAAAGTATTGTGACCAAAAGGAAACCAAATGATGCCAACAGAGGAAATCAGAAATCAAAATCGAGATACCAATACCGATGCAATAAAATGACAATTAAAATTGAATCAAAATCAAACCGATCAAGATCTGGGTTGGATTCATGTTCCAGAATCCATGTTTGGACGATGTGTGTATTGCATTTCATAAATGTAACCAAGAAGATTATATCAGCGATATGTCGTAAGTATGTGTGACTTTTATTGTTGATACCTTCAGCATGCCTGCTGATTACATCACGATTATGTAGGATGAGTGTTGAACAAAGATCAGAATAACAAGTTCGCAACGCAACCACATATGTTTACATCATGTTTTTACTGGGCATGTCATCAACATATGAAAACAACATCATTGGAACAGGATGGTGAAATCACATAAAGATTACGAATCTTTTGAACCGCAGTGTATTAGATGAGGGTAGATCATAAGATTGATTGATAAATTGGTAAATTGAGTTGGTCTGACTGCATAAATGCTTACTTTTTTTTCTGAGACTCATCAAAAGGTGGATTTTGGGGCTTAGAATCAGGTTAGAATCACAAGACTGACATCAACTTCAAGCTCTCCAAAAATTCATCTCACCCTTCCCCGCCAGCTATGGACACTTTAGGTAGGGTGAGCTGCTAACTGCGCCAATTATCATTTTTGCATCATCAACCTGATTGTTGATATCATTCCAAATTTGGAAATTCCAATCATAGGGGTTGATGGTTGGACTATTGCAAGGATCTCCAAGATGCATACAGTTGCAAAACCTTCCAAAAGTTCTTGGTTTTAAAAAGCTCTAACCTTGTATTCACTCATACAACTAAATACTCACCCACTGCTCAGATGACTGCACACACAGTCCACCAAAACTACACATACATAGTATGTATATGTTTTAGGGCTTCAACAGGTTCATATGTTCTCAACACTCAACACAACATCCGTGGCTTTGTCCATCTTGAAAATCTGATTGACCACTATTACAATAAATTAGCAAAATTGAGATCCCAGCCCAACAGTGAAGAGATTACTGACTCAGATATAAATTGAGTGATTGATTATATAACTACAACTAGGTTGTAAATCACACTAGCAATTGATTGCACCTCTGATTGAACAAAATAATATGGTATTGATTTTTGCCACCATTTTCTTGTTATTTTGGGCAGAATCAATTCTTTGCCCATCTGTATTTTGAAAGCTTGGGCAGAGGGTTTGCAAAAGAAATTTTCTGCCCATACCAATAGGAGGTTTCCAGTTGGGATACTGTTGCGTAAAATATATACAAAACAGATAAGTTTTTAAATTTTAACAGTTTTTTTCTGCAAAAAACAGCATTTGAGACACCTAAAAAGGTGTCCCAAATTTCTTACGTGTATGGTAAATTTCACAGTTGTGGACAGGTTGTTGTACTTTAAAAATACCTTGAAAAACCTGACTCAAAACCCCTATTATAATTATTAGATTTCCTATCTTCTTGACTCTATTTTGCCAATCTTCACCACAACCTGAAAAGAGGGACATGATCATCACCAGGAAGCCTAGCAACACCTTACAAGATGCTGGTCCTGTGATCAGTCTTTTTTCAAAAGACAATTAGAAAATTGAAACCTGTCTGGTGAGTAAAAAGATGGGTTGGCTGCATTCCCTTCACTTCCCAGATAGACAGTATTGTATGCCCATTCTATACAAATAGATCAAATTCTTCTGAAAACAAGTCCTGAAGTGTAAGAACACCCACTATGGTGGGCGTGTTTTATTGCAAGTTTTGCAGTCCCGGCCACAAAATTTGATCATGTGTGTAACAACTAAATTGGTAAACACATAAAATTCATATGAGCTGCTTTACAATCTGATTTACCAACAATAAAAGTCAAGCAGATCCACAGTGGTATGATCTTGAAATGAATTATCTCATTCCTCATAATTTTCATCCAAAAATCAATCATCTCATCATCACAATGTGCAAAGACAAGTTGACGACCTTTTGAAGTCTTCAAATAGCAAGAGGAACAACAAGAATAAGACTAAGTGGTCTTGAATTCTTGTTTGATAAACCTTGCATACCACCTCCACTTCCTCACACTCATGTCTGAATTTATCAAGACTTATCAATACCACACTCAATGTGCTCAAAAATTATATGATGAATATCTCACCCCTAACACTAGGTATGAAGTCAAGCTCAAACAATTGTAGATGTACAATTGCATGATTGATTTCAACTCATGAAATCTTTAGAACAGGATATTTCAATCCAGATGAATTCTTACAGACTATCACAACAACAAACAACAATGAATGATTGATTAAGAACCAAATTGAGAACCTATTTAGATAAATTGAAATTTGGATTAGTTCAAAGTTGACTTTTGAGGATGAGTTTTGAAGTTTGAACCTTGAAGTTGAGGTGTTGAGGTTTGAACATTGAGATTTGAAGCCTTGAATTGTGGAGTTTGGGGATTGAGGTTTTGGAAAAGGCATTTGTTGACCAATTATCCTACAATAAATCAAGTTGTAGGCATGCGGAGATCTGAGCATGTGGGGTGCAAGATTTAATGCAGCAGTACGGACCACAGGTCTAAATCAAGTCCATAGTGGACCTGTGGGTATTTTAGTGTTACGGTAACACTAAATCACCAAGTTAGCGCAACCATAGTGGGTGCTCTAAGTTGATCCATTCTTGCACCAGCTTTGGAAACCACTCTGGCACAGGAGAATACATACTATGTGTTTGTTTTCAAGCTGAGGGATCTATGATATATCTTGATTATGTAGGAAAGCAGCCACTATAGGTCTTGCACAATAGGGCAGTTCAAGAAGAGAAACACAAGCCATGTGGTTGCCAAGTCGTGATCAGTCTTTTTAAGGTTGCTCAATCCTTCAAAATCCTGATTGCAAAGTGGTGAATGCTCTAATTTTATGTTTTACGGCTTTGTAAAGTCAGGAACACTGTCCTAACAGGTTTTTTCAGCTTCTTTTTTGTTTCTGTTTCTTTCCTTTTGTAGCAATTATTTGTTGATGAAAAGGAAAACCTGGAGAGAAAAAAAATAAGAGAAGAAAAGGTTCTTTTTTGACCAAAAATTGTTAGAATCCAGGAACAAAAAATACCAAGAATGGAGGTACATTTTTTTGGCTCAATTGTCCCTGTCTTTTGAAAATTCAGGGACATGATTTAAAAATTTTAAGGGAGATTACAAGATTGCAAAACCGTGAACCATCTCTAAAGGTGGTTCACGACCTTAAAATTTTACTTAAAATTTACAGAGCCCAAACAAAATGTAAAATATAAAAAAGCACTGTAAAAGCCCTTCTTGAAACACCTGTCTTGTCCAACACCCTTGAAACAAATGACAATAATGGAAGGGGATCTTTGTACATATGAGATGTTCACCTGAAATCATCTCAAACTAAGTTGGTTAATCTGATGCTTCTCACCTTGGTAGGGGGTTCTATCAGAATCCATTGGACTAACTGACCAAACAGTAGATGGACTGTTTGGCTTCAAATACAACACTATACTATCTCTTACTCTACACGTCTCAAGTCTATCTCAAGCTTGTCATCTATTTATTTATTTTAAAGAATGATTGCTATGACATTGCACACTATGGGGTCTCAAGTCAAGAAATTTACGGTATTTTACAGTCCAACAAGTCGTCCAATAGGGAGTTTCAAGTTGGATCTTTTTGCGTATTTTTACACTACAACAACTTGCCTGTTGTTGTAAAATATGCGTAAATTTTTTACAGCGGGACACCTTTTTAGGTGTCCTGAATTATAAATATGTTGTTTTACAAAGATTTTTTTTACAAACAACTTGTCCAAATTTATAAAAATTACACAAAAGAAAATCAAACTTGAAACCCCCTAATGTTGCCAAATATACTGTAAATTTAAAAAAATCAGGACACCTTTTTAGGTGTCCTGAATGCTGTTGACCGTATATTAGGGGGGCTCAAGTCAAAAAATTTTACTACTTTTATCGTAAAAAACTTTTCCCAAATTTTTATGAGCAGTAAATTTACGCAAATTTGCGTAAATTTGCTGCTCAGAAGGAGATCCGAGAGAAATTTTTACGGTCCGTTTTTATGAATTGGGAAAAGTTTTTACAGCACGGTACTGTAAAAAACTTTCCCCAATTTTTTAAAAAAAGGCCGCAAATATTTTGACTTGAGCCCCCCTATTTGCAGAAAAAAAAACACCGTAAAATTCAAAAAACTTGTCCGTTTTTTGAAAAGTTTCACAAAAAATTTCTGACTTGAGCCCCTACTGTGTATATAAAAAGTTTGTGAGTTGAACAACCAAGGATATGTGAAACTAGACAATAAAAATCACTGATCTGTGAGAACAGGAAAAGTATCCTTGCCCATTGATTCTCAGCGATGAATCACCGGATTGCTTACAGCCCCGATCCGGTCTTGGCTTCCTTAAAGCCCGGACGGTTGGAAATCGGACGCGTGCGCATATTTGCGCCTCGGTACCCAGCAGCATCGCGTCATTCGATAACCATCAACGCGCTTCATCAACTCTCGGTCGCCCTTGACCATCGCTTCATACGAACTAATCATCGAAACAAATATCTGGACGGCACTTACACTAGAGTAATATCGAAACTTGCCATCCGACATATCCAAATCCAAAAAATGAGCGAAGCAGCGAAGGCGAATGAAAAAGACGGTAAAAAGGGAAACATGTCAACACGTTCAGTCGCGATCCAAACAGCCTTCAATCGAGCTATTTTAAATGTATTACGATCCATTACATCTCAATCGATTTCTGAGGCTTTCCCTTATGCAAATCCGGAGGTTGTTAACACACTTGTAGAACAAACTAAAACTGTCTTTACTCATTATGCTACCGTGAGTTTCTTAATTTGGATAGACCTCGGGCTTGGGATTAATGAGCTTGAATGAATTTAATGTAGGATCGATGGGAAAGTCTTGGAGAGGAGAGGTCAATCTTAGAATTATGTGATTTGTTTGACCGACTTGAGGCTTCTGCACGCAAAGATTTGGAAGCTGGACTTGCTCCTCATCGGTAAATTCTGTTCTCATTTCAGATAGATTTCCTGAATATCTATAATTGATATAACCACTAATATCATTCGAGTGCTTTCTTTTCGATATCCTAGCCTGACACGCGACCCTCAACTATCAATTCCACCTCTTATACTACAGCTGATCAACCCTCTGTTATCACACTATGCTAGCGTTATTGAAGACCAAAAGCGCAGAAATAGAACACTTCATGATCATATTCTTAAACAGGCAAATGAAGCAGATCGACTAGAGAAGGAAATTTGTGAAAAGATGGATGGTGTCAGAGCATCAATTGAGAAATTGGAAAAAGCCATTGACTGAATGATAAATTGAATCACGAACAAGATCAGTCTTTCTTAGTTTCTTGACTTATTTTTTTGTTGTGTTCAGTAATCTGAAAATGTGTATCATATATTACTAAATTCAGTTGGTGTTTGTAAGTAGGCTTTCAGTGTATACTTCTTGGTCAAGTTTATGAAATCCTCAAGTCAAGTCAATTTGATCTCTTTGCTCAAGGTTGACAACTCTTCAAATCTGTAAAGTCAACAAGATCCTAAATCTCTCCTCACAGGGCATTGCAAGAGCGACTTATGGTTCACGTCGCAATCTCTGCATGAGATAAGCAGGAGTTTCGGCACTTTCTGCTTTACCACTGCTTTCAAGAGCTCTACCTCATCAAGTCTCATGCCCAGTTCTAAACATCTTTGTCAGGTTGTTCCACATGTACTGCTGTCTTTCTTAGCACAGTTTTGGTATGCCTAACTCGTTCAGACTTTGTCGGTCAAACCCTGTAAATCACCTGCAAGAGCTTGTGATCCAATACAGATCCTCTGAAAGGTGCTGGACTGGGCAAAATGAGAAAATGGGGTGCGATGGAAATCCAGTTCTATTGGGTTCCATGGGTCTTTGCAGCGAAAGAAAAACTTGCACATCGTCGCATCTATGGCACATTCAAGATGATTGAATTTGAGAAAGTACGTAAAGGAAATATGTTCAACTATGACCAACTTGATCTTTGGGAGTGACAAACAGTAACTTCATAAAACAAGATTCCACATACAAGATATCTCAAAGAGAGAGGATTGCAAGAGAAGGAGAAAAAAAACAGACCGGAGATGAATAAAAGATTTGATTTGATCGGACTACAATCCACAAGATTGAATTGGACGATACCCGTACAAGAAGATTATCACAGCTGTTTCAACAAAGATTGATCTTTTTTAAAAATCTCGCCAATGTGCAAAACCCGGGTTTTGTCCTGTTTTGTCCCTCACCCGATTTTGTCTCTCCGCTAATTGGAAGAATACAGAAAAGAATAAACCTGTAAATCAAATTTTGTCTCTGGTTTTACCTGCTGCGGAGACAACTTTCTCCAAAAAAATTTGTCAACCTTTCTTGAAACGGCTTTATATTCTAGATAGTGAGACATGAAGAGAACAGGGGAACAGAAGTGATTGGCAGTTGTGTAAAGGGTTGTAGGGCAGCATTTGAGTGGGAAATTGAACACGTTGAGTTTGCATTAGGGCTCGGTAAGGACTGGTAATCAAATTTTGGTGATGAGAAACGACTTACAATCTGATTGTGAATGTAATGCTTGACACTGTGATGGGAGGGCAGGGGAGGGCCCACTAGCACTTACGCCCACGCTTCATGGCACCTACACAAGGTTTCTTAGTTGGGGGAGCTAGGGTAGCAGCTTGGACAGCGTAGGCCAACATGGCAGCCATGAAAATTGTGGTGAACAGCTTCATGACAAAAACTAACCAAGCATGCAAAGCCAGAAGAGATTGATTTGAGTATTGGGCAAAAGGAAAAGATTCATAGAGTTTGGTATTTTGTAGGGAGGTAGAAAGGTTGAGAGCTAAGACTAAGCATGCTTACATTTTTGTGTTGGTTTGGAATGATTAAAGTTAGAAGCGCTGGAGATGGTCAAGGAATGCGTTGAGGGGGACAACTTGTGTGCAACACAAGCACTCTTTATGTGTCTTTTGTTCCCCAGTGAAGTTGAAAATGATGCAGCATTTGAAATGTTCTTCCGTCCTTCCGCTTTTTAAGTTTACTTACTTCCGCTCCGTGAGACGACATGCAAGGACCCTGAAAACTGAAACTCAGCAAGAAAAAGAAAACCTCAACTTATTAAAGACCTTGACCAAGCTGTTTGATATCAATGGCTGCGACCAATTTGACTGAACTATCCTCTGTCCTTCCGTGACTTTGGGTTAGGGTTATGAGAGAATCACAAATTATGCTGGCATTAGAGCATCCGCACTCATGCGGTAAATTGGGTGTGGTAAGGTTAAATTTAACGCAACTGCGGGGTCTTTTCCACACCGGTGAAAAATTAGCCCCGCGGTAGTTAATCTTTGATCATTTTGCGTTAGCAAATCGGTAAATTTACCAATTGGCTGACACATGCGTTATCAGACAGCACAACTCGTCCACAGCAACTTTGACCACAAAAACGACTCATTCCAACCTCCAACACCAAATTCAACCTTCAACACCGTCTTATCACCTCTCACACTGGATGAAGTCTTAACCTTGCAGTCACATGAACCAAACCAAAAACGCTTGATGCCGATCAACGATTTTCCCATCTTTGATATTGTGTGATTTTCAAATCAAAATCGGTCAATTGAATATCTTCAACTACACTTCAAACCAATCACATGAAGGTAGAGAATATCAGGATTCATAGAACTATATAGACATATGTATATAAGAAAACCAAAATCTGAAGATCAATTAGTTGAGGACTTGGAATCAAGAGTTACAAGTCAAAAATCAAAAAAAGTTTTGATACATTTAGATCAGTCATTTTTCTTTCCTCATTTTGAATCTTTAAAATTTCTACAAGATCATAGTATTCAGTAAAGCCGTTGTTGTTTAACTAGAATTCATGTACTGAGTAGCTGAACAAAGTCATGTTGACTTTGTCCTTTGAAATCAAGATCTATTGGTCAAATAGATGAACAGGATGATATTTGTGAGGGTAGGGTATTCTTTTGGAGTACTCTAAGCTCACTAATGGGAGGTAAGATGGGTCTTTTTATTTAAAGAGTTGTATTTCAAATAGTAGTTTGTAAATACAATAAGAATAAAAGAATAAAAAGAAGTAAGGAAAAGGGACTAACAGTCTGTTTGGATAAATCCAGACAGACTTCAGCTAGTTGACTCCTTAGAAGGAGGTTTGAAATATAATAATGGAAAGCTGGATCCAAGGCCCTCCCTTAATCTCTAAGGTAACAGATTAAGAGTGATATGTAGGTCACTAGCCTGGTTATTTATAGTCACCAACTGGTAGTTATTCAGAAGGTCACTAACCTGTGAGTTGTTGTAGGTCACTAACCTGCAGTTGTTCAAAAGGTCACTAACCTGTGAGTTGATAAAGGTTACTAACCTGCAGTTGTTCAAAAGGTGACTAACCTGGAGTTCTTTGAGAGGTTACTAACATGAAAGGTTCTACTTGGGGAAAGTAGAGGATCCAAGGAATGAAGAAGGAAATTACTTTATCTTTTAGGCAGGAATCTGCTTTAAGGTGATGAAGTGAATCACTAGTCTTATATTTATAAGACTTTTGATTATGTACTTCAAAGGAACTTTAAAGGGTTCTTTAAAAGATATGTGTAATAAAATGCTTGAGGGAAAATCCTTGAAGGCTGAGAGAGGAGGGGTTTATATATCCTCCTCTCCAAACCTAATTGTAGTGATATTTGATTGTATCATCACTGTGGTTTAGGGTTTAATAATTACTATTAATTATTATTATTATTAATATAACATAATTACATATACATGTTATGTATTTTATGTAGTATAAGCATTTTAACTCTTGACACTGAGTTATGAGGTGTAATTGGTATTTTATTACATGTTACATATGTTTTTAAGTGTATATACATATGTAATTGATGTTTGTATATGTTTTATTATATGTTACATGTGTGTTATAAGCTGTATGTACATGTAATAAGGTTTATAAGTAAAAGTCCAATATTATAAGTTAGTTTTGGGTACATGTATATGTACCCAGGGCTGACAATATTGGATCTTCATGTGTAGATGGAGAATTTGAAAGTATCTTAGTGCAAAGAAGAGAACAGTGCCTCTATCATATGAAAACTGGCAATGAAAGCAGGTGATTTGTACTCAAAAAATTAAAACTTTACCTTACTGCATGACTGGTGTGGAACACATGCATTATCTGTAAAGCTGCAAAAGTTGCAGCACTGCTAATGCAAACAAGTGTGGATTTTTGATGAATTAAGTAATCTTTTACTTAATTCTGAGTTAGTTACCACACATGATCAAGTTAACAACCGCAAACAAGTGCGGATGCTCTCACGCGAAAAGGAGGGGCTCTTGACATCATGTGCCACGGTGCATGTGTGTTTAATCTAATTTAACCCAAGTCCAATCATGCAAAAGCCTGCAAAAGCTCATGGTAAGCCGAAGCCGAGGCACAAGGGACTTGCACATTAAACAACATCTCTTGCGTGACCAATAGCCCCCAAAATTGAAATTTGAGATACATTTGGATACAATCCCATTCCCAGCATATAGCAAAGTTTAAAGAGCACATCATAAGATTTTTATTTTATGCTCTACAGAAATAAATGCCAGATCATCTCATTCAATATCACTTTGCTTAAACTTATCAAAGTCCCACGCTTGCGCCTACGAGCGAGGCATCGAGCAAGGGACTTATGCCAAACTCGTACGAAGTCATTGCTCAGGGTTGAGGCCTTTTGCAGGAGAGCACCTTCAAACCCCTCTGCATCCTTTCCCTTCAAGCAATGGTTCTCTGGACCAAAGAGAAAACTTGTTTGCTGTTCTTTTCCACATCTTGTACATGTTTTTTTTTCGAGGAAGTTGCTCCCCTCCTTCCTTTAAATTGTCTCAAAGTTTCTAAATCACTTGAAGCTGTAACATGTAAAAGTATAGTGTAAACTTCTGCAAGTGCTTAAGTCACTTTTGTTTTTTCCAATTTTCAAAGTAAGTGACTTTCAGTCAAGCGACTTCATAAATAACCAATTGTGAGTCGACAACCCGACTGAAAAATGATAACGACTTTTTGGAAATTGTTCTATAGGAACAAATTCCACATCAGGAATGAATCTATCACACAAAGTCAACAAAAACCACCATAGTTTCAAGTACAGACTTGTAAAGTGTACATAATGGCTAAAAGAACACATGCTTTTCAAAGACATTCATGCAGGGATAGACAAGGAGTGAGGTGTCAAAGGGTGTGCTACTCCTCCTTTTTCATTCATCCTCAAGCACCTGTCTTTGAGCTTGTAGAAGAGGTGAGTTAATGG